GCCCCCCAGCCAGTGCCCCGAGTACCGGCCCTGGCTGGGGAAGGTGGAGCGGGAGATGATGAAGGGGCGCTTCCCTCGGATCTGGATCAAGGCGCTGGAACACAATGGGGAGAGCCGGGGGCAGGAGGTGAGAGTAGCCCACCAGGAGTTGCCTTATCCCTCAAAAGTGGAGGGAGACATCTGGCCCCACCACAGCCCTGCAGTCCCAGAGGGTCAGCCCGAGCAGTACCGGGAGGGCTTAGTGCCAGGACTGGCCTCATCCACCCATCCCTCCCGGAGCAGCGCTGGCTCCTCTCCTCTGCTGGGTTATTCCCATTCCAGAGGCTGTGAGCAGCCAGAGCATCTCCCCTTTGGGTCGGGCACTCAGGTCCCTGTCCTTTCCCTCCCCAGCCCTGAGCAGCAGGATTTTGTCCCATCCTATCCCATCCCCAGGCTGGCGGGAAGCGGGATGCTCGAGTACCTCGCCGTAGCTTTGGCTTCCATCAGCCCGTAGAGGTTGTGGAGGTTGTAGTGCACCGAGGCTTTCTGCTTCGCCGAGGCACACACCGTCTTTGCAGAGAGGGAATCGCCCAGCACGGCTGCCAGGAGGGAGAGCCCCCGTCAGCACGCGGTCGGGAAGTGCAGGGGAAGCGGACCCCCGCCACGTTTGCCGGCTCTGGGCCAGCCCTCCCGCACACAGGAGCCAGCCGTCGCCGCCAACCCAGTGCCGAAAGCTCAGGCGGATGGTCCCACCCTGCACCCCAACGTGGCCCCGACAAGCGTGCACGGCTTGGGCATGCACACCAGCACGCACGAGTAGGGGTGGAGACGTCCAGGGTGTAAAACGGAGACACAATGTCTCTTAAAAATGGTTTTCTCCCACAGCACTCAGCGGCCAATGATCCCAAAGCACAGGGTACCTACCAGCCCATTGTATTTCATCTCCCTCCTCACCTGGGGTGTATGGTGGGCTGTCAAGCTCTCCCGGTGGGCAGCCATCTTCAGACCCATCCATGAAGTTGGATGGCTCATTCATGTCCTAAGGAGAGAAAATTGTGGAGCGTTTTCAAAGGGGAGGTTTTGGGGATTAGTGGACAGACCTGGAAAAGCTGCATTTGAGGGACAGACAATCCTGCCGGGACGGGCAAGAGACGTGCACCAGGCGCGAGACAAGTCGCTGGCAAGGAGTGACTGGAGGGCAGGGAGGGACTTACAATCCAGATGCCATCGAAAGGCACATGAGCATGGAAGCGCTGCAGGTTCTCCAGCCACCACTGGTGCGTGTCGGGGTTGGAGAAGTCTGCAAAGGCAGTGAAGCCAGGCCAGACCTGTGGGGAGATCACAAAACCGCGGGTTCAGAGGGCAGACAGCTCCCAGGGGGCTGCTGTGGCGCACAGGGTGCCAGGGGGCTGTGAGCATGCCAAAAGATGGGGGGGTTGAAACAGACAATAAACCAGAAGATAACCCTGGGCTGACTGCTTCGGGTGTCGGATGCTGCACACGCAGCATCCCTCCTGCTTCTGTGGTACCCAGGAGCCTCGGGGTGCTGGGGACAACCCCGCAGCCGGGCGAGGGGTGCAGGGCCAGTGGCTTACGGGGCAGCTGCTCTGCCTGCGCTTGCACAAGCCCTGACACCACCCAGGCCAGGGCACATCAGGATTTCTCCACACGTTGCCTCACTTTAGGAATTTTGGCCAATTAATTTTTCACCGTGTTTTCAGGCTATGTTAAAAGTTCCCTCCTTGTAGATGGTGAGGGAGAGCTGGTGGGAGCAAATGGCTGGGAAAGAGGGAGAAACTTGGAGGGAACCTCTGCGGAGCAGATCTTGAAGCATGTGTCCATCGCAGACAACCTCCTCTCACCCCAGAAACGGGAAGGGAGAGAAATCAGATGACCGGCCTCTAACGGCACTGCTGACCCCGTTAAGCTCATGTGACTTCCACGGGTGTCTCCACCCGGGCAGGGGCTGGCTCCTGGGGCCAGCGGAGATGCCGGGAGGTGACACACAAGGCTGAGGGCTGAACCAGGCTCTGGCAATCATGCCAGAGAGGTTCCTTGGCTTTCCCTCCAGCATGAGGGATGAAATCCCAACCCTGCTATTGCACAATGCTGCGGGGCTGGGATTTCCCCCCAGAACTCCTCACCTGCCCGATGAGCGGCTGCCCTTGGGTGGTGTTTAGGAACAAGCCCCGTCTCAAGCCTTCATCGAAAGGCCAGTAGGAGCCGTGAGGGTTGGTGCTGCTGATGCCAGGATCCTGGGGATGGAGCAGAGAGTTAGTGCCTTTCCTGACAGACCATAGCCCCTTCCCCCTGCCAGGCTGGTGTGATTCAGAGAAGATGACAACCCGGACGGGGTCAGGCAGAGCCCACATAGAGCGGCTGTTTTCCCCAAGGGGAACAGAAACTTGCTTCAACACTTCCAGGCATGTTTTCTAAAATGCCACTTCTGCAAGTCCCCAGGACCCGTTAGGGTGTTTTGGGGAGGGGGGGACAAATATAAGAAATCTTGCACTTATGCAAGAAACGTCGGGTCACAGCCAGGCCTGGGCTACAACGGGGAGTTCAATGGGGAGAGAACTCAACCTTTCCTTCCCCAGGATCATCTGGTCCCCACTGCCTCCAGCAAGCAGAACCTGCACCCACTCTCCTCGCAGAGGAAAGAAGTCAGATCACAGCCGGGTCACAAGATCCCAGCACTCGTGGAGATGTGGGGACAGCCGAGCCAAGCACCCACGAGTTAAACAGCCTGACCCACAGTTCCCAAGGAGTGTCACCCACGGAGGACAGGGCCATCCTTCTACTCCCACAGCAGACAGGAACACAGCACAAGAATCTGGCCCGTGTCTCCACGGTCCCTGCGTTAGGGGAATTTCCAGTGGCAGTTTACAGCTGCCTGCCCAGCACTGGGGACCGACCTCAGATAAAAATCCCTGGGGCCAGGGAAGATCGGCGGGGACAACAAGCATCCCTTACGCCTCTGCCTTGCATCCCAGCCCGGCAGCAAAGACAGCACAGGGGGAGAGGAAGGGGAGTACCAAGATCATAACGTAGCGCTGCCCGTGTTTGTGGAGATCTTCCACCAACGAGGGGAGGGAGGCAAACTTCTGGGGATCGAAGGTGAAGTCCCGGTACCCGTCCATGTAATCGATGTCATTCCACTGTGCATCCTGCGGGACAGAGGTTCAGGGACCGGTGACAGAGTCCAGACGCCCCCCTCCACGGGTTTGGGGGGTTACCTGGGGGATCTGGTAGTTCCTCATGGCTCTCACAGTCTGCCAAGTCTCGTTGCTGGATCCGTAGCCCCAGCGGCAGAGGTGGAAGCCGAGTGCCCACAGGGGTGGCATGGCTGGGAAACCTGCAGCGGGAAAGTGGGAGCATGGATAGGGCGTCCCAAGATGACAGCAGCATCCGAAAAAGGACAGGAGGAAAGAAGGGGGAAAAGAGGTGACTTCTGACCTCTGATGTGCTGGGAGGGCTGGGGTTGGGATGGCTGGGACCACTGACCACTCCCCAACTGGGAGAACTGGGGACGGTGGTGAAGCCGAGGTGAGACATTGACAGAGGTGTGGGGAAGGTACCCGCACACAGCAACATCGGGGTGCAGGCACTTACCTATCACCTGCTGGTACTGCTGGATGACCATGTTGGGATCAGGCCCCAGGAAGATGTAAAAATCCAGCACCCCCCCGATGGTTCTCCAGGTCAGGCCCGGAGCAGGCTGCAGGGCCACCTCTTTGCAGGGGTGGAGGGAAGAGAAAAAGTGAGAACCGGGAGCAACCCCCAGACCCTGACCCCCACAGCAGGGACCAGACAGCGCCACAGGCAACACTCAGCCTCTGGCAGAGGAATGGAGAAAGAAATCCCTGCCTTGTGCTCAGCAGATGCTAAACAGGTGGCTGGAGGCTTAAATCATCACAGCCGGGGAGATCGGTGGTTAACATGGGAAGAAAGCTCATCACCTTAAAAATTTGCTCTTTAAGCCCAAAGCTGCACTGTTCTCCTGGCTTCCACTTAAAGACCAAGCACATGCAGGGCTTTCCTCCACGTCCCCTCCTAAATGAGTTGAGAGCTACTTGTATGAGTGACCACACAGGAGCAAGGGCTTTCCTGGGAAGGGCTTTTCACATGAACAAGCCCTCGAACCTTAGCTCAGGTGGTTGCACCTCCCACGAGCTCCTCCTCGGGAGCATCGCTGCAATAAAGCCAAGCGCAGCTGGAGCTACGAGAGCCCCGCCGTGCACAGCATCATCCCAGCTGGCTGTGAGTGGTGGCTGCTGGGAGGGACAGGGGGGCTCCCGGGCCACCCCCGAGACAGCCGCACGTTTTTTTTTATCAGCTGGCACACACGGGTGGATCCCACGGCCACAGCCGGCAGCGGAGTGCAGCTGGGAAGAGCGCGGGTGGCAGACGGCATCCCCGGCTGCGCCCCAGCCGTGCCACACCGATGGGCCCGGGGGCAAGGCAGTTTCGGGCAGAGGGGGAATGGGCATAGAACCACGCGAGGGACTTGCTTTTCCGACAGCAACTCGGCAGCTGGGCGTGTGGTTAAACTGCTCGGCAGTTGCTAAAGAGCCTCACCATGGCCAGGAAACAGATGGCTACACTCAGTAACGGAGCCATCAAACCACATCTTTCCCTTTTACGGCTTCCTCTCGCCCCAAGTTCCCAAACCAACCGCTCTGGCAGCTCCCGTTTGTCCCCACCTGCTGGGTCATCCTCCAGGGACAAGCCAGCCAGGGTCCTCTGGGACACCTACCCATGGCATTGCTGTTGAGGAGGAAAACTCCATGAGCATCTCCGCCCTCCTCCATCAGCAGGTAGAAGGGGTGAGCGCCATAAAGGTTGAATGATTCCTGCAAAAAGGAGGTGCCGGGTAAGAGAGCAACTCCACGTGGGAGCACCCCACATCACTGGGTGCAAATAAATGGCCCCAAGTTCCATCTGCTGCCACCACCTAACCAGGCATCTGTCACCCCCATGGAGGACAAGGCGAGAGACGAGGATGGTTTCGGAGCTGGTGCTGAAGGCCATGCCAGGCTGGCAGCTCGGGAGCTGCTACCAAGTTGGGCTGGGTGAGGGGGAAACCTCCTGCCTCGCCACAACCTGTTGCACGAGCAGCAGGGTGGAGCGGAAAACACCCGAGGCCCTTGGAGTGCCAAAAGCGTTTTGCAATTGCTCTGAAATCCTCCCTGGCGCATATCTGCCCAGCAGCATCGACCACCCCCTGCCTCTCCCAGTGCCGCCACCCACCCCTCTGCGATGTTTTCCCAGGGTTTGTACAATGTACTGCAGATCGGTAGCCCCGTCCTTCCCCTCCCTGCACCCCTGTGGGGAGGGGGAGATGGTACCGTGGGAGAGACGTCGCGTGCCCACAGCGTGAGGGTGTTCCAGTCCAGGCTGTGCAGGAGGGTGTCACGGTGCTCCCCAAGCCCGTAGAGGAATCTGGATGGGAGTGATGTGGCTATCTGGAGAAACTGGTCAGCGAAGATCAAGGGGGCCACGGTAGTGTTGAGCCTGGCAGGGTGATACCAAGGGAGACAGAGTCTAGAGGGGATGCTGGGATCCATCTGGATCCATTTGCCCACCAACAATTGATGTCTTCCCTTTCAAAGCATCCCAAGGGCCAGCACAGTAGCGTATGTCCCACCCTGCATCCAGCCCCAACACCTTGGTCCAGGTGGCAAATTCGGGTCTGGCTGGACGCAAGGCACAGCCTGAGCCTGACCCAGCCTGACCCAGCACGGTGCAGCCTTGCCTTTGACATCAAATGTTTCCACCCAGGTTATTATTAACCACCGAGGCGATGTGGTGGTGGGGTTTCTCAGCCTGTCGTCACTGATAAGCAGCTCCCAAGTAAAGTATGGACCACAGCCAACAGCAAATGGGAAGGAGGAGGAAAGGATGGGATCTCAAAACACCCTGACCATACATCAACCAGCCGTTGGTGCTCACCAACGGCATAGTGTGGGCAAAGCCATGGAGGTAACCGAGAGCAGTGCAGCAAAGCCACCCACAGTCCTTTTCCACAAAAAGCCTGGAGCTGTGGGTGTCCCTATAGCTTGGACAGCCAGGGAAACCCCAAAGCAGGGTGAAATAGGAGAAGTCACAACACTTTGGTGGCCCTTTCTGCAAGTCACCAGGTCCCTTATTGTTGACATGCTGGGGACCTGCACAATGACCAGGAATTAGGACACTGGGAGGTTTTTGGAGAGGTCCTCATCCCACCCAGCCCTGCCAGTGGCATGGCCAGCCCATGGTGCCAGGAAGCCACATGCTGCCCCATTCCACGTAAGCACTACTGGAAAGATGAAGACGAAAAGTAATTATCGTCTGGAAATCCCACAATGTGGTTTTCCCTAAGCAAAAACCTCTGGGAAATGTGCTGGAGCCTGCCGAGGGTGGGGTGAGCTTTCCCCCACCCACTGTGGGGTGCGGAGGAGGTGGGTTCTTACAGCACTGTCCCTGTTGCTCTGCGTCGCAGCAGCACTCCAAAGGGGTCCCGGGAGAAGTCCAGGCTGTAGATGGGGTTTTCTGCTTTCTTCATCGCCCGGGGAACCTCGAGGGGAACCTCGTACCGCGGGTTGGCTGCATCTGTTATCTGCAAAAGGGAGAAAATGCGCTTTGAAAACCACCAGAGCAAGAGGGCAAAGGGTTGGAGATGCTCATTGAGGCCACATACGGCCATGCCTGGAGCAGAGTAGCTTCCAGACTCGGTCTTAGCAGGGTACGGCCACCTATGGGATGGAGGGTACAGGGGTGCAGGAACGCGGTCATGAGCTGAGGAGGGCAGCCAGCAGGGAGCTCACCTTTATGTGCAGCCGCGTGTCTGTCTCAAACTCCACGTCCAGCCTCAGCATCTCGATGTCCTGGGGGTAATAGGCCTTCTCCCTTCGCACCAGCAGCCCCACCATGCCCAGCGCTGTCTGGTTGAGGCTCTCGAGGGTGTAGCTGGGGAAGTCAGGGGGGTAGAAGCACCAGGGCACCCCCTGCTTGCCTGTCACTGGTGGGGGACTCTCAATGAAGCAGCACCCCCGGCTTTCGCAGAGCTCCTGGGTCACCACCACATGCCGCTCTGGGTAGCAGTCAAAGCGGTGGCTTTCAGGTACCAGAAGACATTTGGGGGGCAGTGTGGGTCCAGGCCAGCCCCCTGACACTTGCCGCAGCACCCAGACGGTGATGGCACTTAGCAGTACAGCAGCCACCAGCAGCCCGCTGCCCAGCCAGCTTCCCATGGCTGGCGGCTGTTGAGGTGGCCCCTTCCTCCTCCACCCTGCATGCTGCTGGATGCGGCACCGCCGTCGTCAGCTTCTGGTACGACTTCATCGTCCTGGCACTGGAGCAAGGGGGAGATGGAGGTAAATGTGAAGGACTGGGAAGGGAAGAGCTTGCCCGAGCCTCGAGGACTACTTCCCTCTTCCTAACGCCCCTGGTTCAGGCATAGCCTGCCCGCCTCTGTATCCTGCACCGTCATGTCTACGTCCTCGGCTTAGATGCACACAGCAAACTTGGCAAAGGCTGACTTTGCCAGGGCTGGGAGGCCCTCATCATGCTGGAATGTGGGGAGACAATGCCTTATGACTATCCTTCAGCCCCAAGGGACAAAGCGCCATCCCTGAAGGAGTTTTTCCCAGGTCTGAATTTATGGGCTGCAGTGTTTCTGGAAGCTGCAAGCAAAACCAAGCTCCCTCTGCCTGTCAGAGCAGAGCCTTGGTGCTGGTAGCTGCGGCTCTGAGGTGCGGAGCATCCTCTGCCCGTGCCCAAAGCCCCAAGTTAGAGGTTTTAGCCTTGGGGAGGGCTGGGTGAGGGATGGCAGGAAATACGCCATCAGTTTTTGCCTCCCAATGATAAAATCTGATTCTAGCAACCTCTCAGGCAAACATCTCCCAGGCTGTAAGTGAAGGGAAGCCCCATGCTTAGGAGATCCCAGTACCTTAAATAAGAGACACAACTTTCTTCTCCCGTGCCGTAGGCACTCAGACCCTGCTCACCTCCACCCTGCAATCTGCAGAAGCTCAGCAAAACAGCAGCTCTCCCCGAAAAGCAGATTTTATTCCCCGTCAGCCCTCCTCAGGCTCCGGCCCCAAAATGGCTCAACCTGCCGGGGCCTGCCTCCGAAGCCACCCCAGAGCGACAGCACCTGCCCCCTGC